CAGTCAAAAAATGGGCACCTCCTATGACCAGTAAATCCAGGAAAAAATTTTCAACATCTTTGACCATTAGAGAAATGCAAAGGAAAATGAGACTGAGATTCCATTTTACTCCTGTAAGAATAGACATTATCAAGGGTCTAAAAACAAACACTGGGAAGCTTGTGGGGGAGAAAGGAACCCTTTCCACATTGTTGTTGAGAATGTAAACCAGTACAACCACTTTGAAAATCAGTATGGAGATTCCTCGTAAAACTAAAAGTAGAAATTCTATGTGTCCCTGCTATACCTTTCCTGGGTATCTTCCTGAAAGAGCTGAAGTCATCATACTTTTTTTGTTGTTGTTGTTTGTTTTTTTGTTTTCTTGTTTTTTTCCAGAACCAGGAATCAAACTCACGACCTTGCGCTTGCCAGGCAGGCACTGTGGCCCTGAGCTAAATCCCCAGTCCCTTGAAGTCATCATACTGAAGTGATATGTGCATACTCAATGTTTACATTAATACAGTTAATTCATGATAGCTATATTATGAATGTGGCCTATGTGTTCATCAGTAGATGAATGACAAAGAAAATGTATATATACACAATGGAGTACTACTTAGCTAAAAAGAAGGGTAAATGTGAATAATTTTTATAAAATAGATGGATCTTGCGATCCTAATACTAAGTGAAGATAGTCACAAAAGATTAAATATCACATGATTTTTCTAATATGAGGTGCCCACAATATAAATAATCTACAGAGCCAAATAAAAGAGCCATGCTAAGAAATAGGAAGATGTATTCTGTAGAAATGTGAAGGTGATCTGGGATAGGATGGATGGGGGAAGGTCATGAGATACAATAAAAAAGATAAAGATGTTATATCTTTATCAAACCCCCAATATGAAAAGTCATTATATATTACATACATACATGTATCAAACCCCCAATGTGAAAGTAGTCATTATATATTATACACATATCCTAATAAAAATTTTAGAAGAGAATACTACCAAAGCTACAAAGTCCAGAGAAAAAGGTTGCTGTCTTTGCAGTAAAACAAACTGGGTGGTGGAGGTAATGAGTCTTGCTCAAGTCCCTTGGTTTAATCCCCAGGATAGCAAAAATCAATGTACCCTGGATGGGCAGATCCCAAACCAAGTCAAGCAGACAGTCTACCATAACTGCCACACCCTCAAAACCTCTAAACTAAAAATTCCTTTTAGGTGATCATAAGCAATGTGAAAAGAAAAATGACAGACTTAGAAAATACTTGGAACCAGTTAAGTGAAACATTACTTGTTTACTATAAAGAGCCATTCAAGTAGATATAGAAAAAACTGTTTCAGTAACAAAATGGGCAAAGAACAAGAACAGATGGATAACAAAAAAAGGAATGCCCAGTGGACATGTGAATAGATATTTAATGTCATTTATAATAAAAGAAATTTAAAACGAAAATGTAAGGGCGGGGGATTTAGCTCAGCGGCACAGCACCTGCCTGGCAGATGCGAGGTTGTGAGTTCGATTGCCGGTACTGGAAAACAACAACAACAACAACAAAAAATGTAAATACAGCTGTGCAGAATATGGGGAAGAGACCATTCCTCGACATTGTTTAGTGGAAGTTTAAATTTTTACAGGCCCTCTTTGAGATAATTGTAATATGTATCAAAATTTTAATTGTGTATATCTTTTCATCCAGGAATTCTATTTTTGTGAGTTTATCTCCAAGAAAAATTTGGGTACATGTACAAAGATACACAAATTATGAATATGCTTCTCATACTAGTAAAAATGATAATATTTTTAGTATTTACAAATAAATTGTGTAGTATTTATAAATGAAGAATTCATTTTAGGTATCTCCTGTCTTCCCAGTTTTTTTTATTGAGGCAAACCAAAATACATATAAGACAAATATTAGAATCTTAAGTACTTTCAAGTGTACAATATAGTGGCAGTCAGTGTTGTAAAATCATCACTATCCCATGTCTAAAATTTATCCTTATTTAACAGTAAATCCCCATTCCTTTTCTTAGCCCTAACAGCAACTAGTGTTCTTTCTGCTTTATAAACTTCACTACTCTAGAATACCTCATATAAGTAGAATCCTATAGTTTCCAGATTACTTTGTGTAACATCCTTAAAATTCATCCACATTGTAATATATATCAGAATTTCTTTCCTTTTGAAGCCTAGAAACCATTAGTGGAAGTTTTTTGAAAAAAATTATTTTTCAAATAAGTAAAATAGCTCCATATGGTTCAAAATTCAAGAGGAGAATTGAGAAGAGGAGCAGATGGGGAGTGAATCCTAATGGTAAGGGGTTTCTTTAGCGATGATGACAGTGTTGTAGAATTAGATAGTGGTGATTGATGTCCAACTTTTAATGTGCTGAAAGCCACTGAACTGTACACATTAAGCAGATGAGCTTTAGTGTGAGAATTATATAAATTTTTTTTTTAAAGTTCAAGAGGAATGAAATTAACATTTTCTTAAAACTTGTCCTTCAATTATCCTATTTTTGTAAATGAAAATCACCATTAACCATTTTTAAATAACTTTCCAGAAATATTTGTTTTTTATATTTTTAAAAATAGTAAAATATATTTTAAAATTTCTTCCTGTTATGGTTTAAATATAAAATGGCTTGCAAAGACTCATGTATTGCAAGCTTGATCCCAATACAGCAATGTTGATACGTTCAGCCTAGAGAGATAATTGAATCATGAGGGTGCTATCCTCATTATTGGATAAATCATTGATGAGTTCATTAGCTAAATGGACTATTAAGGCCTAGTTGGAGGAAGTAGATTACTGGAAATGTTTCTTTAAAAGATAACATCTTCTTGGACTTACCCATCTCTCCCTGCTTCCTGGGTGCCGTGAGGTAGGCAGCTTTCCTCTCTGAGGCCCTTCTGTCATGGTATTTCTGCCCAGACACCAGATGACGTTGGACCAGAACCTCTGAAACTGTGAAGGAAAAATAAACATTTTTCACTTTTAAGTTGTGCATGTCAGATATTTGGTCCTGGCAATGAAAAACTAATCAGTACACCTCCTTTTCTGCAAAAGTGATAGCAAATTAAATAATGTTCTGCATGCAAGTAGGCTTAAGTTTGGTTCTTTTAGTTTCAGATAAAAGCAGGTCTTTTTTTCAAGTATTTTCTGCTTACTGTTGGAGATTTAGACCATACACAAAAAGAGTAACGAAAATCAAAAGCCACATGTACCTACAGATAGCCACAGGTTATTTCCATCCTTTTAGACTTTTTTTTTTGCATATATGCACTTGTTAACATGAGAATTATGATCATTCAATATTTGCTACTGTATAATCTTTTTTGTATTTATAAATAGTATATTGTGACCATGGGTTTTTTTAAAAAAAAGTGTACATTTATGTTGGTATTATTGATACATAGTGTTAAGTTGTGTGATATTTCTCAGCCTATCATTTATTAATATCCTTTAGATTCTAATTTTGGTATTATTATAAATGAGTATCTTTGTATTTATAATTTTGTGTACACTTGCCAGATAATTTCTTTTAGATATTTACTCAATCTGCCAAAAATTTTGCCAAAAATTTGCTGTCTATAGTCTTGCCAAACATTTTAAACAATGTGTAGTTTTAAGCATAGAGCACAAGATTTCCATGACATTATCAACTCTGTGAAAAGGTAGTACAAGTATTTATAATAAGGGGAATCAGAAATCCAGAAAGCTTGTTTTATGTCCAGATTTCATAGCCAGTCACTGTGAATGTTGACACCCAAACTTGTCTTCTGATTTAGTCTTCTTGCCACTGTGTACACTGCCATAGTAAATAAAAGAAATAGTTGGCACATTGCTGTGGTTGAATATAAGGAATGATCTTTTATTGTTGTGTCTGTATTCCTGAAAATAAGATTCTTGTTATAACAGCTTTTTGGAATTCTTTGTATAATGTGCTGGAATAATTCAGACTAAAGGATCATATACCTTCATGAGGGATACATGTGAAAGATATAGCCTCTTAAATATTTCAGTTGATTTGCATTATGATCTTCATTTAATTACTCACCTGTATTTTAATCTGTATAAAAACTCAGAATTTTGTAAGCATCATATAATTTTACTACTTTTGGATGATAGTAGTTTCTGTAGATCTTGAGGACTGCTTGATTTCAATGCCATTTTTATCACTGTGTGATCTTGAACAACTTATTTAAACCTCCTTAAGCTAGTGTCCTTGTCAGTAAAATTGAATTTAATAGTACATATATAGGTTATCTAAAGTAATCATCTTTAAGAATCAAAGAGTCTAACAGTGCTTCCAGGAGGGAAGGAATGGAGAGTTACTACATACTTAGGCTTAAATTTTCCATTAAGTGAACTGTAGAGATCTGCTGTACAAAACTGTACCTATGCTTAATAACATTGTATTATACACTTAAAATTTGTAAGGAGGATAGAGTTCACATTAAATGTTACTGTCAGATTGAAAAAATATGTATGTCATAGTGAAGATTAAATATGTTAACATTTAGAAAGTGCTTGGCACAATATGTAATATACACACCTTGTGTTGAATGTTAGTATCTATCATTTAAAGTTTACAAAAGTCAGTCTGTTTTTTTTTATGTCCTTTATACTTTTTTGGTGGAATTATTTGAATGATGTGTTCATATTCCTATAGATTTCACCTAACTTTTCCCTCACTATACCTTTAGTTCCTATGTAATACTTTCTGTTAATTTTGAACAGTGTCTTTATTTTATCATGCCTATGCAAAGTGAGGAACTGCATACTTATCTTGCTTGTTGGGAATAAAGAAAATTTAAATTAATGACATTTTGGTAGATTATCTCAACCATATTTTAAGAAACTAAAGTAGTATAAGGTGAATCCTAGTTTGCTGGCTGCAGATTTCTGAGAGCTCTTCTGGCTGTTTTTAGCTCCTCCTGAGGAGGACAGCTGGTCTGTCTTTGAAGAGGAAAGCTGATTTGGAATTTTTCTTTTCATTTTGCTTCTAGCACATGCAGATGACGATCCAGGCTCTTCAGGATGAATTGCGGATCCAGAGGGATCTCAATCAGTTGTTTCAGCAAGATAGTAGCAGTAGGACTGGTGAACCTTGTGTCGCAGAGTTGACAGAGGAGAACTTCCAGAGGCTGCATGCTGAGCATGAACGGCAGGCCAAAGAACTGTTTCTTCTGCGGAAGACTCTAGAGGAAATGGAGCTACGCATCGAAACTCAGAAACAAACCCTAAATGCTCGGGATGAGTCCATTAAGAAGCTTCTGGAAATGTTGCAGAGCAAAGGACTTTCTGCCAAAGCTACTGAGGAAGACCATGAGAGAACAAGACGGCTGGCAGAGGCAGAGATGCATGTCCACCACCTCGAAAGCCTTTTGGAGCAGAAGGAAAAAGAGAACAATATGTTGAGAGAGGTGAGTGACCACTTTTTCAGTTCTTACTATTTACTGTCCTTTTCCCTTTATTAATCAGCATTTTGGCCTAGATAAATTTACATGCTTTACTATCCTACTGGATGAGCATTTTTTCCCTTTGTTCATTGATTTCTCTTCTAACTTGTCCCCACCTCTTTTATGACATCTTTTGGTATATACCCTAGCTTGATAACTTCCTGGATACCAGACTTCCTCTTCCCTGATTTCTAGAGGTCCATTGGTTGCTAGAGTGGCACAGGTTTTTCTTGGTTTGTTAATCACCTCTAGTTTCATTCATAGAGACAACACAACAAAACCAGAATCAGAGTAGCTAACTCTACTCAGTTCTAAAATATTAATAACAGAAAGTAAGCTATTACCTTAGTTTACATGTTTAAAGTCCATTACTTGTATGCAGTAATGGATGTTAGCTCTGTGGTTTCCTGGAACTATTGCCTTGCTATAAAAGATGTATGATAAAAGTCATTTGCTGCCCAGTAGGGACAGCTAGAAAGGATGATGTAGAGCCTCACTATTGTAGAACAAACTAAGTTTTGAGCTGGCCTCTGTTGTATGATTGCTACCTTTTCACTTTCCTAGGTAATGCTTCATTTTAAGGATACAAAGGGAAAGTGTATCCTATGTTGGACTAAATTAATAGCTATAATAGCTTTTCTAAGTGATCACACTTAAGATACAGGGAAAAATCCCCAAATGATGTTGGTATGGGAGGCAAGAATTGTATGATTGAACCATCAATACCTCCCAACTATGTTAGTATGAATCTGAATACTCTCTATAAAAAAATTGTGAGGAAGGCAATTTAAAAAATATTTCCAAAGCAGCAAAATAATACTTGGTAAGAATACTTATAAATTTGTAATTTGATCCATCATTTCTCTTTAAAAAAAGTGAAATGTTTATTTATAGCTGGGGTATTTTTGTTTTTAAAGAACCTATTTTTTAAAAAACAGGCTTTTACTACACAGGAAATCCATTATAGTTGATCATTTTAAACATAGAAAATAGATTAGCAAAAAATAAAACCCAAGGTATCATTATCTAGTACTTTATTAACTTTTATGTTATGTCAATATTTGTAGTCATTTTTATTTATTTATTCTTTCATTATGTTTCTTTCTTTTGAGAATATAGAATACTATTTGTCAATAGTATTTGCTGTTACTTTCTTTAACAGTGCAGATGTTCTATATCTGCCGTGTCAGATATGGTAGCCACTGGCCACATGTGGTTGTGAGAGGGTGTGTGTGTGTGTGTGTGTGTGTGTGTGTGTGTGTTACTGGGGATTGAATTCAAACCTTCACACTGAGCTACATGCCTAGCCTCCTTTTCTTTCCTTCCTTTAAAAAATTGTTTTACTTTGAGCAGAGTCGCCAAGTCATTCAGTTGCCCAGGCTGGTTTCAAATTTGCAGTCCTTCTGGCCTTAGTCTTCCAGAGTGCTGGGATTATAGATGTGGACCTCTGTGTCCAAGTACATGTAGCTTTTGAGCAGTTGAAATATGTCTTGTGGGACTGAGGTAGTGCATTTATTTAAATTTGTTAAATGTAACTAATTTATAAAATGTAAATTTGTGTACATGTAGCAAGTGGCTACTGTGTTCAGTGGTGCAGCTATGGATAATGTAATGTCATCTGCTTTTCTTCATAATTTTCCTTGACCATCTTTCTCCATCAGAACTTACAGATTTTAGTAATTGCAGATGACTTTGTAATATCCCATTATATTTACATCTCTTTATTTTTGAACATTTTGATCACTATTAAGCTTTTGATATTACAAAACTGTGCTGTGCTTTCTTAAATATATATCTGTGTGCATTATTTCTTCTTGAATTTCTACAAAGGAATTAAAGAGTGTATACGTTTTCAAAACTTTAATTGAATTCATTCTCAGAATAGTTGTACCGGTTTATTCGCCCATCTACATATAGTGCACTTGTATGATTAATCTCAGCTATGTAATCTCAGCTTCTAATTAAAGAATGAACTACTTTAGAAAGTTTTCTGTCAAGTACAGTATTACAAGCCCATCCTGAGTTTCTTTCAGTTTACTTTAAAGCTTTATATTTTAATAAGACAAACCAGAATATGACCAAGGATCATTGCTAGAGAATTTCTGATAATTTCAAAAATCACATAGCTGTGCATGGTAGCATACACCTTTAATCCCAGCACTGGTGAGATTGAGGCAGGAAGGTGGCTGTGAATTTGAGGCCAGCCTGTGCTACATAGCGAGACCCCCATCTCCAAAAATGATTAAAAAAAAAAAATCTCAAACATCATGTAACATGAAAGCTACAACAGCATTATGATGGACTTTGTTAAATTTTTGGTGCTTCTATTCTAGATACAGTATTTCAACCGATGCTCTTTTCTTTTCTCTTTTGTTTTTCTTTTCCTTTTCCTTTTCCCCCTGCCCGCCTCCCCCCTTCCTTTTTGTTCATTTCCCTCCCCTGAGACCAATTGTCATCCTGTAGTGTAGACTGGCCTTGAACGCACTACAAAGCCTAGGCTGGCCTTGAACTCAAGGCCATCCTCCTGCCTCAGCTTCCTGAGTGCTGGGATTATAAGCATGCTGTGATTACCATGGCTGGCTTCTTTTTTTTTTTTAATGCATTTTGGAGTTAAATGCTGAATAACTAAGGGTTGTCAAAAGTCACAGTGTGATTCTGGCAGAAAGCAATAAGAAATATGGTGAATGTGAAAAAGTGGAAAAAAATTCTGACTGATTTTATTTATTTTTTGGTTTGTTTTGCAATAGGGTCTTTCAAGGTGTATTTCAGGGTGGCCTTGAGCTCACTATGTAGCCCAAGCTGGCCTTGAATTTTTGGCAGTCTTCCTGCCTCAGCCTCCCAAGTGCTGGGATTATAGGCTTGTGCCACCACACCCAGCTTTCAGACTGATTTTTCTAAACAAGAATTTCTTCAAATATTGAATCTTGCTTATACATACAATATGGGAACAAGTAAAAGTCTTACCATTTGTACAGTATACAATTTTAACTTGCTGTTAGTAATGTAGCATCATCTTACAGGAAACGTAGTTACACTGCATAAAATTATTTGATGGTCAAGTGGAAATGATTGCTTCAGGAGAAAAATGGAATGCTTATTCTCCTTTATGTTTCTTTTTCTTACCTTCAACACTTAGCTCATATTTCAGTTCTTCTATGAAGTTTTCCTTGTCTAGTTTTATATGTGTTTGTAGGTAGTTTGATTGCAGTATAGCATACTTATATTTGCATATTATTTCATTGTATATTTATTCATTGTTCACTTAATTTTATTTATATTTACATAATTTTATTTATTAAAACAATAATTTTATTTATGATTTATATTTATTCATTGTTCACTTAATTTTTTTCATCAAGGATGTATATTTTCTGTTTGGACTGCTATAACAAAAATACTATAGATTAGGTAGCTTATATGGTAAGTATTTGTTTCTCCTGGTCCTAGAGGCTGGAAGGTCCAAGATAAAGACACCTGTGTCTGGGAGAATCTGCTTCCTGGTTCATAGAGTACCATCCTTCTTATTGTGTCCTCACAGGGTAGGAAAGGGCAGGAGAGCTCTCTGAGTCCCCTTCAATAAAGACACTAGCTTTCAAACCTAGTTACTTCCCAAAGGCCTCATCTTTTAATATCATCACATTGGAGATTTAGAATTGCAATGTAGAACTTTAGGGGCACATAACTGTACATTGTTAGTGCCTAACATGTGCAGTATTTGTTAATAAATGTTAGTTGAATAAGTTGAAATGTATGTAAAGATACTTAAATCTGGAGCTTACAGAAAGGACAGTCTTCCTGTTTGTTTGTTTGTTTGTTTTCCAAATAAGTTTAACCACTGAGTAATAAACACTATGAAGGTTAAAACACAAATGTCCAAGCTGGATGAGGTGGCATGTAATTGTCCCATCTACTTAGGAGGCTGAGATGGAGGATTACTCCAAGTTAGAGGCCAGCCTAGCCAAATAGGAAACAACCACCCCCATTTCAAAAACCAAAACACCCCTCCAAACAAGTTTTATTTATGAGTTTAGATGTAGAAATGATAAAGTATTAGCAGATAGGATTACCATTATGTTAATACTATCTTAGCAGAAGCTGTTCATTTTGGGAATGCCTGGATTGCTCAATATATTATATGCCATTTCGATTTGTCATAGGTGAAAGGAAAAGAGGACCTTATAGTATTTGATGGCTCTCTCAAGGACATTTGGTAAAATGTTACACATTTTGACAGGCAGACCAAAAAAATCTTAATAAAATAAGAATTGATTGATATTTTATAGTTTGGTTTAAATAAATAACAGCATAGTAAATACTTATTTTCAATGGATATTTCATACTAATAGCATTATGTTTACAAGTGACATAGTAGATGTGTCCATTGAAGTTAGGAAGAGGTCAAAGATGGTTGTGTGTATTTTGGAAGTGCTGGGCAGTGTTGTTAAATAAGGCAATGTAATAAATATATAGAGTAATGAAAAAGATGGGCATACTTTTTCATTATTGTATATTAGCAACTGTGATATAAATAATGTCAGTTTTCCCCACTCTGTAAATTTACTGAAAATAATGATTTTCCAATTTATATTCAAGCACAATGCAAGAATTACCTAAGGAAATCATGATACATGTATTTAAAATCCTTTGGAGTAGGTATATGGTGCATCCCTGTAATTACAGGTAGTCAAGAGACTGAAGCAAGCGGATCATGAATTCAAGGCCAACTGTACAAGATAATGAGACCTCATTTAAGGAAAGAATGAAGGGCTGGGGGAAGGGAGAGAAAGAAAAATCTGTTGACATTAAAACATTAGGTAGGGGCTGGGGATTTAGCTCAGCAGCAAAAGCGCCTGCCTGGCAAGCGCAAGGTCGTGAGTTCGGTTCCCGGTACCGGAGAAAAACCACAAAAAAAAAAAACAAAAACAAAAACAAAAACAAAAAAAAACATTAGGTATAGGCACAGA